TCTGAATACTTTTAAGAACAAGTGTAAGAAAAGTCACAGAAGGACAAATTGTTGGCAATGTTCTTCTGTGTGGAAGTAAACTTCTTTTCCAAAATAAGCTGGGCCAGCATTTCACCTAAAGAACACACACACACAAAATGTTTTTGTCAGAATCTCAGTTAAGAGATCTTTTGAGCTGCTATAGAGGGCAACCCAGTTCCTTCCAAAGTAGCACATTTTCACTGGAGTGGGAAACTTGCAGCAAAGTTTTGATGATTGATTAGATGTCAAAACGTGAATCATCAGACTATGCACTAAACTGGGTGTTTGAACAACAATAGGCTCAGCATTTTAGCACTAAAAATTTTAATGGATGCTGGGAATAATATGTTCTTTTTGCAGCTGGCTAATTTGATGACTGTACTGGTAGCTTTCTGGGATTGGGCTGTGACCTCTTATATTTGCTGTATCAGGGAAGTGGATGACTAGAAATAGGAGGAAATTTACTTACTTAATGGAATGGCAATTGATTTTCCACCCGTGTTGGTATCATCCCTTGATGAAAAGCACAGCTTTGGTTTTGCATATTCAGTCCACTAGAGTTGGATGACCACCAGTTAAGGTTAGATCTCAACCAGCCTTTCATAATAAAGAGTAACTGGCAGGAAATCTTCTTTCAAGAGAGGAGCTCTTTCTGACTCAATCATCCTGTCATTTTATTCAATCCAAAAATAGGTTAATTTGAGTTGTTGTTCCTGCTGTTATTGTGGTATATATTTAAGTAGATTCATATCTGAAATTCTGATCATCCTTGATATTACTGCTTCCTAGTTCTTTTCTGCATGCTTTCTAAGGTTTTGTTTCAGTGTGCAAAGTACAAAACTTGTATTCTCATTTTAAATGCCTTTCCTGTATAATGAATTCATTTTATTTTCATAAATATAGAGGATACACATTAGCATCCTGAAATCTATTTAGCATCCAAAGAAAAGGATGTGCATATTCATCATGTTATCAAGAGACACTAGTTACGCACACTAAATCTTTCATACTGCAAATCCTATTTATCCAGCAGGGCTTTTATGTCTGCTATCCAGGAATTTAAACCTTGAGTTAAAATGTGAGTGATAGCACTAATAAGATTAAAAGTCTTGCAGTTAGGAATCATGGTACTATAATCTTGGTATCAGCAAAAGATTTATGTACAGGTTTTTTCCCCCCTGTACAGACAATGGATAAAAAATGTAGAACAAAGCAAAGAGAGGAGCTTAGCTTCAATAACATTTAGCTGGATTTTTCAAATAACACTGCAGATAAAATGGTTATAGAATAAATGCACTCCTGTTCCTTCAAGCTTAGTGTAGCACGTAGTGCTGCATGAAGACCTTAAGCAGAGCTTGAAAATTTTTCAGGTATCATCAAATAATTATGCATGGTGGAGGGAACCAAATATTATGATAAGGATACTATCCATTCAACCATGCCTGATTCCCAGCAATTCTATTGACCAGGTCTCTCTCCATATTTCATTATCTTTTTACAGCTTCTTTTGCTTGTTTTATGCCCTGGCTGGTAAGTAATATAATGTATTATATCATATACCACATTGTACCATATCTTATCAACATATCATATCATTATGCCAAAAATACAGCATTTCAGGATTCTTTTCCAAGATATTGAAGAACTGAATTTTAAAAATAATTTTCAGACTTCAGGAGAGAAAAATGAAATATTGTGAGGGGCGCTGTGATTTTGAAATAAAAAAGATATATCTGTGGATGCAACATTACCAAACTCTCCATTTATATATGTCTATGAATTATCCTACTAGAGAAAAAAATTCTCAATAAATATCATGGGGTGATGTACACATACACATGTTCACAGTAAATAAATAACTGCAGCTGTGAATCTGAACGTACTTTCCTTAATTTAATAAGCTTTCAAAAGCTAGCATTTTGTGATTTAAAATGGTTTTTACAACCTAAGGATAGGAAGAAATGAAATAATAATTGGAAATCTTTCTCAACATGAAGTCTTCCTGCTATATTGGACTTCAGCTTCCAGGTTTATGTGCACAAGGTCAAGGAGAAAAAAAATTAGAAAAAAAATCTGCAGTCTGGAAAAATCAGCAGTGTCCACCACAAGGTGGAAGAACTCTCAGATGACAGTGTTTGTGTGATGACATTATACAAATGCCACCATTATGTAGTTCCATTTTGCTGTCTGAAATATGTATGCGAATTGTCCAATGTCATTGCTATTCACCTTTACTGATTTGTCTTCCCCCTTTTGCCCACCCCCATGGACACCCATGAACTCCTTAATTTAGAAAATGTCAATGAAATGTCATATAGGCTCAGGCAAGCTGTAATCAAATAAAAGGGATCTTTAGGTTACCAGCTGAGTCGTACAATTTATTTCTCTGTTTCACACAGCTATAGAAGACAAGTAACCTGCTGTGGATTTATGTAGACAATTACCTTACTAACCTCGGCCCCACTTCCTCAACAAGACAACTCAACCATATAGTGATTTTCCCCTCATTTAAAAAAATGTAACATTCCTATTATGCAAGACTTTCTAATTAGTTAATGAAAATAAATAAATAAATAAATAAAGGCCATCAGAATATACATTAATTAAGCTGCCATATGTTAGAATTACAACGGCGTTAAAAAAAACATTTCCTTCTCAACTCTTATATGTTTGTTTCTTCACTATGTGTTTCTACAGAAATCCTTCACAGCATCTAGCATAACAACATAAGAACTCTGCTGAATCAAGCCAAGGATCCATTCAGTTCAATATACAGTATACTCACAGTGGCCCACAAACTTTATTCTTCTTCAACTTTGTGTTTCAATGATTAGTGTAAGAAATGCTATTCCTTCATGACTGGATGTAATTTATAGGTATCATGATTAATGGCCTTAGTTACCTTTATTTATCATACTCATATAAATTTCCAAAAATAGATCTTGAGCATTTGAAGTCAGTCAGGATTCTCTCTAATTGATAAACAAACCTGTATATTCAAATGTAAAATCACTGTCCTTAGGTATTGCAAAGGTGCCTTATTCAGATCACACTACAGACTGGTTTTCAATTTTTAAATGTCTTCATCCTTATTTTTAATGGTACAAACACTTTTACAATTAATTAATCCTTGATCTCTACCCTTCTTTAACTTTAGGGCCCACAGCAACATTTCATATTTCTTTGCACTGTCACTCTTTGAAGCCTCTGTAAATATATCTTCCTTTTGTTTCTTTGTTTATAGCGAGATGTATTTTCTCCCCAACATTATTGAAACGTGTTTGAGTTCAAATGTCCTAATATTAAACTACATATCAACATCAAAAGAAATCCAATTATAATGACACATAGTATTATGAATATTTCTGAAAACAAAACAAAAATCCCTTTTTGGCCTAAACCATAGAAAAAAAGACTATGCAATAAGTTGTTAAGTCCTAGAAAATGAGTTGTATTGCTTGCTAGTTATTATTAACCAGCTCTGATTCTAATATTATAAGACTAAAGGTTATTAAGATTAAATGGTGCTACCAAGCTGTGAATTAGGTTTATTAAGTTAAAACAACAGATGATTCTGTGTGACATATCATCTCACATGAATATCTCAGCTGTATTGATCTGAATTTAAATAGGATAAGCAGAAGAATAGGTACGGTATATGAATCACTAAATGTTGCTTTTTGAGATGAAGATAAAACAAACTGAGAGGAAAATCTCAAAATATTCATAACTGTCTACTTCAGAAAATGTTAAATATATTGAGCTAGCCCCTTAATTGGTTATGTATCATTGGCAATATCACAATGACACTAAAGATATTCATCCTGAAGCAAATGAAGAACAATTATACTTAATTCCAACCTTGCTTTTCTAAATATATCCACAATGCAAACTTACAGTAAATTACATCATGATTAACTCAGAATGATTTAGTGAGCAAACTCCAGTGTTCTATGGGCTACATAAAATATAGATTCATGAACTGGATCCAGGATATTAAAAACACCAATTAAAATTTTCCCAACAGATTTGTGACTTTTCCCTGCATTATTAAATTTGCTTGATTTTATTCAGTTTCTCAAATACAAGTTTCCCTAGATTAGTAAACATCTTACATACTATGTGAAGAGTTTCATCTATGTGTTGACATTTAGATTTCTCAGGAAATAGGTTGATTACCTTAAGCAATACAAAGTTCATTCCTAGCTTCTCTTTTTGGGATAAATTCGAATAATATTTTTTAACAAGTGTCAGCACTCAGATTGTTTGTTTCCAGCATCTGCTAAATGGTAGCAATCAACCAATAGCATCCTTACAAAACCAGGATGGTATCAATGTAACAACACATACCTACAATGATATCATCATGTCAATGACATAATCGTGTTTTTTGCATCACAACATTTGACATATGAATATTGTCACTTTGGTGCCCCATTCAGCTCATGTTTTATATTTAAACATTTTTAATATTCATAATTTATATTATTATGGTTGTTGTCCATATATAATTCAATACTAGCATACTTGAACTTCTCTCAAAAACTTTTGAATAATGCAGAGAGGAAAGACAATTCCTATCACAGACAACAAAAAGAGAGGGATATTTATAGTTTCAAAGAGATTAATGGAGATTCAGAGAAATGCAACTAATGGACAAAACAGATAAAAGAACAAAGAGTAGGAGAGAATCCCTGAAGGGATAAAAGTATACCATAAAAGTTTATGATGATCAAGTGACCTCTGTGGTGATCCCAAAATCACAGAAGGTAGCAGGAGGCAAGAGAGCAAGAGATCCCGAGATACCTGTTTTATTGAAATGTTCTACTCTTTAGAGGTGGCCATCCATCTAAGTATAGGCCAATACCTTTATCTCAATTTCATTTAAGAGCTTCTTACAAAATCTAGACTAGGCATTAATATTGACCGGCAGCACTTTATTATATCTTATGCCCATAATCTCAAATACTTTGTCTTACCTGAGTCCAGAGCATGTACTCAAAATTACTGCAGATTCAGCATATTCTTGTACATGGCCATGATAGAAGCAATGATTCTAATGAGACAGAGAAAAAAGGATCAATTCCAATATTCCATATATAATCTTAGTACAGATGTTTAATGTGTTCCATTCTTTATTATTATTATTATAAAGATCTGTTCTGAATTCCAGTGATTGAGGAAATAATCATGCTGAAAGCATTTTTCTGCCTAGTTTGAAATAATGCATGCAACTTTTCAGGGATTAATGCCCGATTTATATGAACTCAAGGCAATATCTATGCTCTACCTCATTCGCAAAAGACAATGATCAGACAAGTATTTAAAGCAATTCTCCTGGACACGCCTGCTTTTTAAAATTATATTATTATCGGAAACCTATGATGAGAACAGTTTGTAAAATTAAACAGCAGAGGAAATTATATTGTCATTCACCTTTAGGCACTTGCTGTAGATATAAATTTTAAATTATGCAGATCCATAAGACATAATTAAGCATACTACACAATGTAATAAAACCATTTCCTATTTTACAGCTTCACAAAGAAATTGATCCTGGGAAATAGAGTGGAGAGGAAAGAGAAAGCATCTTTTATCATCCTGGGCTGACTTGGAAGCAGATTGTTATTAAGAACAGGAATGAAAAGGAATTCTACTTTCAGAAGGCCACTCCTGTTTCACTTTGTGGCAGGTTATTGTATTTCTTTTTAATAAATCCAGATGCTTACCAAAAGAACCATAACAGAAGATACATAGTCAATAAAGTTGCGAATTTGCCTGGAATTCAAGGTTAATGCTATTGCCAATGAAATTTAATACCTTCTCCCCAGTTATGGATCTGGTTATAAAATCATGTTTGTGTCATAAACAGCATTTCTAGCTCCTTTGAATGCCACCTTAACAAAAGAATCTCTCTCTCCCTACCTCCTTTGTGAAAGGTTGTTATCTTATTAATGCAAAGAAAGCTGTCTCTCATATTTCTGCATAACAGTCATCTCACCAACCTCTATTTCTTGGTTCATTCACATCTAAGCTGCATTAATTAACCTTTCAGTATCAGGGCATGGTTTTCAATTACATCGTCTCAGACAGTAGCCTTCTAAAAACCACCCTGATTTGATTAGAGAAAGTAATCATATGAAAAGATCACAATCAAGTTTTAATAGTTCAGGTGTATAAATTTTTGGCAGATTTGATCACCATGTAAAGAAAATATTAGCTTAGCCCAAAAGCTTCCTTTTAGATGAAGACATGTAAAAAAATGACAAGTGTTCTAGAGACAATATGCAGGGCATATCTACATGAACAAAGTGAACATTATAAAATAAGACGGTTGCCTGGAATCTTTACTAAATTACCTTTATAATCTGTTCTGGTATCAGCTTAATAAAAATAACATAAAAGGGGAAAAAGCCACATAAAGGAAATGGTGTGTATCCATGTTTATGTGTTCATAATAAAAGGAGAAATACCATGCATAATAAAAAAACTATATAAAAATAATGTTCAACAACACATACTCATTAAAAGGATAGTGGGAGGCGGGGGAGGAAAAAGAGAGCCCCACTCTTCCAACATGATTTTGTGGAAGACTGGAGAAAGTGGTGAAACTCAATAAGCCTCTAACGACAGAACAGCACAGGGTTTCCCAAAATGGCTGGCTGGGGAATTCTATGAGTTGAAGTCCTCCCATCTTAAAGTCACCAAGGTTAGGAAACCCTTCGATAGCAGATGCTGCCCAAATATCAGGAAGCAGATATACTCTTTTTGACAAGATTCAGTCTTTGCTTATTAGCCCCCATCTACTGTATCCTTATATCAGATATGTTTCAAAACATTTATGTTCCATCATGGCCACCCTGAGATTCTGTGAGCTTCATAGTAAAGTACCATTGAATTAATGCATATTGCAGAGCACATCTTTAGTTTTCTTTCCAATTTAAGTATGGCCTTCCTTAAGTAAAGGGGTGCCTAATAAGTCCTCTCTGCAAGTAGATGTAATTGAGAGAAGATCCCATAGATATCCAGAAACTGAATCAGGAAAGGATTTAAAGGTGACAAATATCCCTTTAAATTGCACTCAGACATTGAGTGGTAATTCATGGAAGAAAGCCTTTTAATCCCATTAACTATATATTATGGCTCTGAATATCAATTGCAGGGGAATCCAGCTCAAAATTTATTTTGAATTTGGAACAGCTTCCCTTTGCCAGCTGCATGTTCATTCTGAGAGAGAAAAAAAGTTTTGGAAAAATGACTTATTTGCATTTCCCCCCCTCAGAATACCGAGAATGAGAAACAATAGATAATTTTGTACAATTACATACATTGAATGTTGTTTCCTGTTTCGCCTAAAAATTTGGAGCAAACTTCAGGGAAATCTCCAAAAGAACCTTTAATGAAATTATTGATTATAATATTCAGTTTAGTTACTCATTGCTAATACCACAGCCCCAATATAAGACAAAAGTCATTCTGTAACTTCATATTTTACTATCTACATAGTTAATATGAAAAGCACTGAGTTCAACAGCTCTCTCTAATATATAATTTTAATGTTGTAAGTTCAGCTTGAATTAATTACATTTATCTATTGCTTTAATTAAGAAACTTTACTTATAGCTAGAAAAAAATAACGTCATTACAATCTTAAATTTTTTGTATTGAAAAGAATGCTTTGTAAAGCAAGGCTCAGTATCAACCACAAGTAGAACTTGGAGTAACTGCAAGGTAAAGAGAGAGAAATAATTAGACTTAAACTTTCAAGAAGAATAAGACTAATCAAAAATAAAGAAGAAAAAACAAGAAGTAAGAAAAATAATTCAGTAACAACAAGAAAGAGAAGATTTTAGATTAAGATCACAGGAACTTGAAAAATATACAAAAACAAGAGAGAGAAGAACCAGAGACGCACAACCAGCCACAAAGAGAGACAGGAGTAACTACAAGGCAAAGAGCAAGAGTCAATTAGGTGATGGATGAAGAAAAGAAAATATTATCAATTAACATAAATGGCCTAAACTCTAGGATAAAAAGGAAAAGAATACTAACCAAACTAAGTAAACAAAATGCAGATATAATATGTTTACAGGAAACACATATAAGGAAGGAAGAAGAAAAATATCTAGAATTCCCCAAGCTAGGGAATTTGTATATGTCATGTATAAGGCCTTTGACAACCTAAATTGGCAATTCCTAATCCAACAACTTTACAACATAAATTTAGGCACTAAATTTGAAAACATTGTGACTACAATTTACGATTCACAAAAGGCGAATATTATAATTAATGGAGAGTACAAGCGCTCAATAAAAATAGAGAAAGGAGTTAGGCAGGGATGTCCATTATCTCCCTTGCTCTTCATACTATCTTTGGAAACATTGCTTACATGAATTAGACAGAACCCAGGAATAAAAGGACTAAAAATTAAGAAAGAAGAATATAAACTCCAGTCATTTGCAGATGATATGGTTTTTTTCATAGAGGAACCAATTGAAACAGGTCAAGAACTTTTTGAAAGAGTTAGATCAATTTGGGGATGTTGCAGGACTTAAAATCAATAGGGAAAAAATGAAATTAATAACTAAAAATTTAACAGAAAAATAGAAATTAAAATTGGAAAGGATAATGGGGTTACAAATAGTAAAAAAATTTAAATACTTAGGAATTTGGTTGACGGCTCAATGCAAAACCCTAATGGAAAATAATTATAATAAACTACTACAGCAAGTCAAATAAGATTTAGAGGTATGGGTCAAATTGCAAATCTCTTTACTAGGGAGGATTGCTACTATAAAAATGAACATTCTGCCCAAATTTATTTACTTATTCCAAACAATACCAATAAAAATACATAAAAATTACTTTGGGGGAATCACCAAATTCATTTGGCAAGGGAAAAAACCAAGGATAAACCTAAAGGCAATGCAAGATATGAAGAGCAGGGGAGGTATGGCACTCCCAAATTGGGAAATATACTATAGTGCAGCCTCCTTATTTTGAAAGAGTGGGTAAACCTATCGAACAAAGGAATCTTATTTCTAGAAGGCCATGACTTACGGGGGGGTGGGGTGGCACACATTTTTATGGGACACTGGAAAAATAAAACAGGACTATTTCCACAGACATATAATTAGAGATTCGTTATTGGCTAATTGGAATAAAATAAAATAAAACATTATTTAAAAATCCCAATATGGATCTCAACTATGGAGGCGATGATCCATCCAAATAATGTAGACCTTAACAAAATGATAAAATACAAAGACCTTCTTGATACGCAAGGAACTTTAAAATCATGGCAAGATCTCCAAGAACAAGGGCTACAAGTAGACCGGTGGGCTTACCTGCAAATTCAAAATAGATATAATCAGGATAAGAATTTTGGAATTTATGCTGAGCCACAACAATTAGATAAAATCCTATTAGGCCCAGATAAAAAAAAATATAACTAAATTTTATAATTATTTATTAGAGATAGAATTAGAATAGGAAGTAGTCAAAGGCAACATGATAGCTTGGAGTAGAAACATAGGACGTAGCATTACATTATTAGAATGGGAAAGGGTCTGGACAACGAACAATAAAATCACAAAATCAGCAACATATAAAGAAAATGCCTATAAAATGTTTTATAGATGGTATCTCTCACTGGTATCTCTTGAGAATAGCGAAGATGTCTCCTAACATGAATCAGAATTGCTGGGAATGTAAAAAGAAACACGGAACATTCTTTCACATGTGGTGGTCCTGTACTGAAGCCCAAAGATACTGGCACAGAATAAAAAAATGGTTGGAGGAAATAACGGCAGAGCAAATTGAATTAAAACCAGAATTCTTCTTACTGGAGATATTTAATAGACAAATTTCTAAAAAGTCAAATATATAATTGTTATGTCCTGAGGACTCAAGGAGTTCTCACTCAGGTCCACTCACT